ATCCCACAGCTGACCTGCTAAAAATGACAGATTTTCTTTTCTGGATCTCTGACAGACGGACTTCAATCTCTGAACTTGTAAAGTTCTTCTTTTTAATTTTTGCTGTCATTTTCATGAATGAATGGACACTTCCTGATATCTGAGGTAGGAAACATATCCTTATTTGGTGTTTTTGGGGTGGTAATTATGCTAATCTCCTCTCGCGTGCACGAGAAGCTGGATACGAACAGGTGGAATTTACGCAGCTCATTTACACACGTTTCCAGAAGATAGAAGAGTTTGTTGAATCTGACGTGACATGTTCGTACGAGCTCTTTGTACGAACAAAAGTAAGAGAAATTTAGGATAAGAATACGAACGTTCTTGCATGAGGCCCAATATCTTTAGTTTTAGTGTTTGTCAATTTTTTTTTTAATTGAGTAGTTTCACATTAGCTGTGGGCAGCTTACGGCACCTCATGGTCCGGAACGACACTTGTTTACAGTCTGCTGCTGCTCAGCACTGTCTGCCAAATGATGACAGCAAAAGTTGGGAGAAAGCAGCAACGTACACTTTGGGATTTCTTTGAATATGACTGCGAGAAAAAGCTAAGCAAGTGTCTTGGAGTGGAAACAGGTGATAAAACAGGTGGAAAACTTCTCAAGGGAAAAACTGCATGAATCAAGTTCACACAAGATGGCTAACTGTGACTATCTTGACATGCTAGCTTCTCTCAAGCAAGCAAGGCACCGGGTTGGAGACAACTATTATCATCGTTCTAAAATAATCGCCCAAGTCCTTAAATGGCAAAATTGAGTTACGCAATTATTTTAGGAAGGTGTCGCTATAATGGACTGCTTTAACTAGTGACAAAATAGCTGCTGGTTAGTTAACTCACAAGAACATCACAAGCTTCAGGATGTATTGACAAATAAGTTTATTCAAACTATAAAAAAAACTATTACTAGAACTAATAAAAACTAAAGTAAACAAAAACTAAGCGTTACAAATGCAGGAATAACTAATAAAGCAAGCAAATCCACTGTAAAATCTAATTAAAACTAAAAGAAAAAAGTCACAATAAAACTAAGCTGTAATGAAAATTTCATAACTATTATAACCTTGCTTGAAAGTCACAAATCTATTTTAAAATAAGTGTTAAAAAATACAGAATACATGGAAAGCAGAAGCAGATTTTAAATGACGCAGTGCGATGCATATTTTAGGTATCTTTTTTTTATTTGTGATTAACAGTAAACATCAGTAAATGATGGGCCTTCAGGTTTTTGCAGCTACTCTATAGTCACGGTTATCAGACACAAACTTTGAATTTTTATTTGTTTATTTATTTATTTTGGCTTGAAGGTCCTACAATGATGGTGTTCTGTAGAAAACGCAGCGTTTCACAGACCATGACCGTGATCTTTGTCCCATTTTGGTGCCTTTTTGTTACATCCAACAATAGTTCAACTTCTGTTTCATTTATCGAGTCTGATGAATAACTGTTGTTCCTGTTTGAGTTTATACCACATTTTATGTTTTAGAATGCAAATTTTAGCTTTGAAGATAAATTGTGGGGTATATTTGAGGTACAGTGAATCAGGTTTGACCTGATTCGACTGAATAATTGACTGTTGTTTTGTTTTTCTTTACTGTGTGAAAATGACAGCTCTGTAGTGCTCTCGTAAATAACAGGAAGACAGGCGTGCAAATTTAAAATGGAGATGTCCATTAGTCGTTATTAAGAGCCCAGTTTATGCCATAAATAAGTAAGGTTGGTCCTTTAATGCAATTTTGACATTTGCTTTTGTTTTCTTACTTGTTAATCAAATATAAATCTTTTTCAGGCCTCTTCTATCGTAGCTAAATGCACTGATCTTATCTCTGTGCTGCAACATTGCAGCAGCAGAATGTTTATTTGTCACCGCAGTGATAGTTTCTGTTCTGTGCTGCAGGTCCTCTTCTCGGCCGTATGTCATGGCTAGTGGAGTCACCAAGTCAAACACTTCCAATGGTTACCCGCTGAAGGCACAGCTCCAAATCCTCGGTAAGTCTTCAGCTTGATTAGAGATCTATCATTCTGTCATTTAAGTCAATTTATTTTGTTACAGTTAGAAAAGAGCAGGTGTAAAAGATAAAACGAGAAGGCTGAACATTTAACTGTTAAAGGGCCCACACCATCATCAAGATGTGTTATTATATTAGACTAAAGGTTCCCACTTTCTTTCATTGTTGGGAATCGACACAATCATTATGTTTCTTGGCCTTTTTTTAAGCATAAATAAATAACCAAACACAATTAAACACATCATAATGAATGAATGATGCTTTATTGATCCCATGAAAGGAAATAACAGAAAATAAAACAATATAAACAAAACAAACGTATTTGTACAAATAGAAACGTATTAATTTAGCTCTGTTGACCTTTTGTTCGGTTGCTTTGGATTATTAGGATTATTATCTATTGCATAATTTTCACTGGGGTACTCTTACATGTGTAGCTTTTAGAATACTATTTCTTGACATTTTTCTTTTACCGTACCTCTGTCTGTATGTCTGGTTCCCTCCTGTGCGTGTCTTTTCTTCCTTGCCTGGTTGTAGACAGTAATCACACATTTTGGTGTGTTTTGATATTTTCTTACACCCCTACTTCCTCCGGAAGTCTCCCAGGCTTTTCACAATAGAAGCACATTTGCATTGAATTTATGTTGTGCATGAAATCTACCCGTGCACGTYAACGAAGAGGTGTACACTACATTCAGCAATGGCGAAAACAGGAGTTTTTCTTTAGCGTCAGTCATTATAAGCAGCTGAATCGCCACCCGCTGCCAGTTATTGATAAGCTGCTCYAACAATAGCATTAGCTTGCTAATGTGCATAGCGGTGCTGCAAGTGTCCCTCACCTCATGCAACCATTCATTGGCGAGCTCGACGTATTGTTCCAAATGTGTTCAGGCTATTTAAACTGAGATGTCGGTATTCAAAAAATTCATATCATTACAAAAATTAAAAAACAGTTTTCGATATGAAAACTAGTGCCCAGCACTAGTTGGGCCTGGCATTAATTCACAAACACAAATTCTTGGTTTACTCAAAATTTGGCAGCTATATAGTCAGTGGTGGGCAGCACTAATCTAAAAATTAGTTCCACTAGCCCTAAAACACTAACTCAAATATTTAGGTCCCCTAATTCGAAAGCACTAATGCACTGAAAATTTTAGCAAAAGCTAATTCTAAAGCACTAAAATAACCCAGTCGAACATTCTTCAACAGACAACATGAGTCACATACGGTCATGTTGCTCTCTTAAGACTTATCATTGACTTTTCATTCTTCAGCTGTATTTGGGTTTATATGTTGTCATCTAGTGGATATCTGTTAACATTAACATTGATCAATAACATTTAAAGACCTCAGTGCTTCTGAATTTAGCCCATAATTTTTACAAGTGCTAATCCACTAAAAAAAAATTTAAATTAGCAAAAGCCCTAAAGCACTAATCAGGAAATTAGCTCCCCTATTAGTGCTTTAGTGCTTTTTATTTTATTTTATTTTTTTTATTTACTGTTATTTTACCAGGCAAATCCCATTGAGATCTCAGATCTCTTTTTCAAGGGCGGCCTGGGCCTGAAGGCAACCTATTGTACATGTTTTTGTGCTTTAGGGGAACTGTACCCACCACTGTATGTAGTGAAGTTTATCTGCATCTATTTAATTAATGTTTAGGTAATTTGTTACTTTTTAACCTTAATTGAACTCGTAAAAGCACTTTTGTTTTGTTTTGTTTTTTTGTTCCTGATTGATCATTATCTCTTACATCCATCTGTTAAAAGGCCCATTCTGTCTGTTTCAGTGCTAACAGCTAAACTGAAAGAAAACAAGAAGAACTGGTTTGGCCCCAGTCCTTACGTAGAAGTGACGGTCGACGGCCAGTCCAAGAAAACCGAGAAATGCAGCAACACCCACAGCCCCAAATGGAAGCATCCACTCACTGTGTAAGTCTAAATAATTTAGGGAATGCAAAACTCATAGGACTCTAAATCACTTGTTATAATCAAAGCTCCATTTTTACTGTTTTAAAACTGATCATACTGCAGCAAGACCTGTGATGTTTATTAGAAGAGCCTGTGTTTGTTTGCATTTTCAGCATTATGAATGTGAAATATTCAGGGAAGCATTTAGGACGTTTGTTTGTCTCAGCTTCAGGAAGCAGTGCATCATAGTTGAAGTATTACTCATCTTGCGTTCTTAAATGTTACCATTCTGGTGATGAATAATACACAAAAGAGCTTGTTGAGCTGTTATTTACAGCTTTGACTTCAGCACCTTTTTTTTCAGAGTTTACTTATTAAATAAATCTTTAACCTCAGCGAGTTAAAGGGAAGTCTCAGCACTCAGGGACATATTTGCCAAAGCAGTTTATCATTTAGTAAGTAGAAAAAGTAGTGTTTCACACATTTATTTGCTTGCAGATAGCCCACGTGAAAACATCACGCACCAAGTTTTTGTTTGCTCGAGTTTAAATTAATTGAATTTGAAAAGACAGTTTGGAAGTTTTTGGAAAGAAGTCGTTTCAAACACTGCTTGCTGTAGTTGGCATTGGGAAAGTTGCTCAGAAAGCTGCTATGGATGTATAAAAATAGACAGTGAGTAAAATTTCTGGTAAAACAGTGTTTCTCAATATTTTTCTTTCCACATCGTTTCTTTTTTCCCCCTAATGAGTCACCATGTCTTTGTTGTGAAGGTCTTTTGTTTTTTGTAGCTTTGCTCAGGGTTACTTTGTTTTTATACCCTTACTACATTTTTTCCATTTTATTTTTATTCAATTGTGAGCCGGGTGGATGACTTATTTTTTAAAATAGACTTCAAAATTTCTGTAAATCTTTAGTGTGTTGTGTTGTTGTAGTTTAGCATTCTTTTTTACTTTCATATCCTTTAAACCAGCAGCATGCAACACGTGTTTACTAAGGGGTGTAATCTGACCTTAGCTGCAATGTCTTTTCTGGGGGGCACCAATAGTCCGAGCTAAACAGCTGTCATAGTGATGGTTATAGATACTCTCCCTCTCTCTCTCTGTCCTTGAAAAAGCCATGAACTTTATTGTTCATGATTTGCTTTTGGAGCTAAGAAAAAAAATGCTCTAAAATAGGAAGTGTTCCAACCAAAGACCAACGCTTCCCTGAATCAAACTGACAAAATCTGTTTGTTTAACTCTGTAGGGGAGCGTGTCTTTGGAATCATCGTGACTGTTTGTTTCCACAGGATCGTGACTCCGTTCAGCAAACTAGTGTTTCGCGTGTGGAGCCACCAGACCTTAAAGTCAGACGTGTTGTTGGGCATCGCCACGCTGGACATGAGCGAAATGCTGAAGTCCAATGACATGATAAGTGAGTGGATTGATTTCACGCATTTCATTGAAGCATTTAGAACTGGGGGGGTCCAGTCCTGGTCCTAGAGGGCCACTGTCYTTCATGTTGTCATTGTCCAGGGTTAGGGTTTTGTCTGTTTGACTTCATGACTTTCAGCTGTGTCTCAATTCATGGGTTGCAACCGTTGTAGACCACGGTGGATGTTGGCCACAGACCGCGACTGTGTCGGCTGCATAAACGGCTGTGAAATGATACGTCTAGTTTACAGAAGACGTATGCTGGCTTCTGTTGTTTTTTTTTTTAAGGTACAACTTTATAAAATTCAGTTTTAGTAGAAAAACGTTACAAATAAATAAATAAAAAGCATTAATAATCARGGTTTAACTCCAGAATCAGAATCAGTACTTGAAATTGCATTTTATTTAAAGGGGACCTGTTAGGCAATATTCACTTTTTAAAGGTTTTTTACTCAACTTTGGGTATGTACTTCTTAAAAAAAAACAGTCCTAGGACCAAAAAAAATGCACCCAGGGGCATATTTACTGTAAGTAAATGTATTTTTTATACTTCTTACATTTTGTGATGTCACAAGCCGTATGACAACCCACCGGAACCTGCGTTCAGCCCCTTACCTAGCAACCCCTGGGTGAGACTCCACCTCCTCAGTATAAAAAGCCGTCACGGTTGTTGTTGTGCAATGCGCAGCTCATTTCACAACAAGCCTCCAACAGGGCAATGGGTAGAGTGTTGGACCATAGAATGGGAGACCAGGGTTTGACACCAGCATGGACACAATTTAATTATTTTCATTCGTTATGAACACGTTTTCTCATGTACCTCTATTGTTTAGCTTATTAAAGCCTTGTTAAAGCCTATTTGTTCGAGTTTCTGAGGTATTTTGACCACTGCTGCTCCCTGCTCTGGTAACAGCATGCAGAGTGAGGGCAGAGCTCCGACAGGAGGAGGGGGAGAAAAAAAAGAAGAAGTTGCGACCACGACTCTGCCTCTGGGTCTCTCATATGGTTGTACAACGGAGCTTCTGCTATTATTAGCCATGCTAACGTAAACGCTGGCTTTGGAGGGTGGAGTTAATGTCAACAAATTTTTGGAGGGCGTTACCAACAGAGCTCATTAACATAAACAGCTCTTCTGAACGGAAGTCAGAGCAGGCAGAACTAGAAAATGGCAAATTTTATTATCTGAGAATTATTTTGTGCATYAAATTGAATGAACATGGTCTGGATAGCCTACAGACATACCATAAAAATTTCTAGGACCCATGATTGGTCTCATTTAACATCTTATTGCAATAAAGGTTTCTTCAGCCAAGTTGCTAAACTTACATTCTTCAGTCCGTGATGAATTTCCAAACTCCACCGTTCATCGTAAAATAAGAAAAGTAACCCACGCCGTCTTTGTTTTTCTGTTTAATTTGCTGACRGCGCAATGAATTCTGGGATTCCGCCGGCCGTGTAAGATACTCACATTCAGCCTACATTTTCAATAAATGCGGTCAAAGTTGGCTGCAACCCATAAATCGAGGCACTGCCTTCATTTTGCAGCTGCAAGACTTTCTGAACTGCAGTTTTTGCGTTGGTGACTTATCTGATCTTATGTGTCTATTTGAAGAGGAACAGGTCATTAAACCAGTGACATGATTTACAATAAGACAACTTCAGTATAATTGTTTTAAATTGCTGAGGCTCCTACTAGAGGCATTTTAATTTTGTTTTTATTAGAAATTTATTAATTTCATTAAAAACAAAACAACTATGTACGGTAGAAGAAAAAATATACAAATTAAACCAAATGAAAGGCAGCCAAAAAAAGAAATAATCTTATAATTTCTGCCCCACCTCCCAAGAATGTATTCAAACAAACAAAAGAAAAAGACCTACAAGTAGACATTAAAATACTCCTGTGGATTTTTCAACCCTTTTTATCCTCATAAGTTTTCTGACTATTGTAATTCTATTTGCTTAGTTTCATATTTAATTTCTGGTCTGGTCTTATTTTGGAAAACTTGGGATACAAACTGCAAAATACACAGTTACCATAATGAGTTTTTAATTCAAATAATGCAGTGATGTGAAGGTTTTTGAGTTAATTGCAGATGAGCTCATGATTATTTCAGCAAAAATAACTTTGCTCTGGAGCAGCTGAGCAAACAGTGCTTTGTTGTCCTTCTCATTTATTTTCATCATTTGTTGTAATTCGGCGTAATGAGTTCTCCGAGCCAAGAATAAGACTCCCAGTCAACCTGTGTGTTTTAAATGTTTGTTTTCCTTCCCCTGACTCTGCTGTCTCACTGTAGTTTCAGAGGTGGTGCAGAGCTTGCAGCTGTTTAGTGACAGAGACCAGACAGATGTGGTGGGAGACCTGTCCGTCTGCCTGGATGGCATGGCTGTGGACCCTGAAACGTTTGCCTCAGCCGAAGCTGACCGTCAAAGTGAGTCACGGTGGAGCCGCGGGAACAGATGGCGTCAAAGTACTTTTCTGCTTTTGCAAAGTATTATAGTTGGGAAAAACTGTTGCGGTCTTAAAATACTGTAGTTGCTTTTATTTTCAAATTGTGAATTAATCGAGCAAATCTGTTCCATTTAAATCAACAGATCAGAAAGTCGTTTTACTAACTTGTCTTTATTTGTCAGGTACAAATGGAGAGTCACAGACTAATGGGGATCTTTCCTTAAGGTACAGTTCACTTTCTGACCTCCAGTTGTTCATTTGTGACGCATTTCAAGTTTTTCCTGCTTTAATCTTCTCCCTCCTTCCTGACAGGCCGAGTCGGGACAGTTCTCCAGCTGTGAATGGTGTAGAGAACAGATCCTCACCCAGCACCCAGAGGACAACAAACAACAGAGGGTCTCCCTCGGTGTCATCTGTGGGGGCGAAACCTGTTCGACCACCAAGACCCTCCAGACCTCCTCCTCCAACCCCTCGCAGACCAACTTCTTCACCAGGTCAGACACATCCAGTGTGCTTGTCTTCCAGCACTGAAACATTAATAATGTGGAATATTTACCCTCAGGGTAATCAGAGCTAAAATAAACAAGTATTTTTTTGTTAAATCAGTTTAACTAGAGAATTTGTATCTCCTGCTAAAATATACTATGAAAGCTAAATGCTGAAATATTTTTGCTGAAAGCTGCTGAAGAAACTGAAAGGTTTAATAGTAAAACTGTTAATGTGAGTTAAARAACAGCTGTTTTTTGATGAACCAGAACAATTGCAAAAAGTAGCTAAAATAAGCAAAATACAGTTAGAAGAAGCACAAACAAGTTAAAATGAACACACAGGGAAATTAGAGTGAAAATTGTCAAATTAGCAAAAAACAGTAAGTACAAAAAAAACTTGGATTTTTTTTAAACAGCTGAAAAAGCATGGTTGCAGTATAAACTAACAGCCATGCCTAAGCAGGCAATGCAAGACGCACGTATTTCTTGTAGCAATAGTAGTGTTGACATGTTCGGAAAGGAGTAGGAAGAAGTAAAAAACTTATGCTATGTTTTCAGATATAAATAAATATATTTTAATAAACCTGAGTATAACTAGGTTGCTGTTGCCATGTGCAGATATATACCATAAGCACCATTTACTCTGAGTTCATCTATACTTAAATCCATTCATCTTTGATGTTGTTCATATGAGGCTTTGCGGGTTGCATCTGTGGTCCCCCCGCACTCACTTTGAAACATTCCACGGGAGAGATCCATGCATGCTCACAAC